ATAAAAAGTGATTTCTATTTTTACATAAACAAATTGTAATGTAAGTAAGGAAAAAATGATTACGAAAACTTTTCAAATTATTGATATTATTTGTACAAAAACGAATTTTCTACTCTCAAAACTTTTTTGTTAACAAAGATCTTGAAACATGAAAAATCGATCTCTGACGAATACTTCTTTAAGTTTACAAAAAACTTTTCCAAAGTCATCAAGAGAAAAAGCTTCCATTTTATGAATTCAAATAATGCTTTCAATGTTTTGTTTAACTTTTACTTTTATTTCCCTCGTTTATCACATAACAAATGCGTTAGCGAATAAAGTGAAAAAGCTGAAAATCTACTTTACGAGCAAAATATCAAATCCAATAATCATTCGAGTAAAGAGTTTGTGCTTGTCAGCGCTCTAAATGCAAACAATGATAACGATTTGCGATTCAATGATAAAGCTTGAGGAAAAGTTTGATTAATTTTATTCAAACACATTCGTTCTATCTAATCAGCTTCATCTGATAAAACGTTTCTGTTGAAATTTTCATATACAAATTCTACAAATATAATCAGGAAAATCTACTTCAAAACCAACCTTTATTTCACCTCAATAAAGATTAAATATTGCACTTACTTATGTACTTATGCTTCATGCTTATCGTTAAAATCATATGGTTTGCTTAGCTATAATTTTCTAAGACTAATTCGACTTCACATCAGCTCAAAGTCATATAAGCTGAAGACTGACGTAGGTTGTCGAAAAAAAATAAAGGTGAAGCTAACGAGAGAAGAAGAATAACAAGGAAATTCTAATCATTTCATTTCCCTTCCAATTACTATTCTTGACCAGAAAAGATTTTTTTCCAAGTAGATATTTCTCTTCAGAAAACACTTTGATAAAAATATTCCTCAAGCAATGTCCACACATAGTGTAGAATTTCGTATAATGATCCTGCAATTTAAAAGCTTGAAATAAATCTTTTGTTAACGGTGAGTGTACTGCCCATTCGAAAAAAAAAAAACAATTGAATAAATTTATTCTTCAGTTGGTTCTTGCTTTATATTAGATACTTCAAATTATTTGAACATATTTAAATTTTATTTCTTTTATCAATAAGGTTTAAGGGGTAATACAACCTTCTCTTTCAACGTCTTGTTCTTCACCTTTTATTACATGATTGTCTGCATTTTCTTCTTTCTTTATTGTCTCGTTTAAATAATACTCTTTACTTTGTAACCATCGAACCCAACAAGGAATCTGATATGAAAACAAAGCTTTTCGCAATAAATTTCAGGGTTGTTAAACCACATTTACTTTCTTCATAATCTTATTGACGAACTTCAACTTCCGATTATCTATGATTTTCATTTTCTTTCAATTGACATTTTAACAGCCCTGATTTAATTGATAAAAAACAAGGAATAAACTGACATCCGCAAACAAAATGTCAACTGACGCGAGTATTTCATTTTATAAACATGAAAAGGTTTTTCCTTTCTTGCTTTCTGCTAAATATTGTGGTTTATTTCTTTTCAAAAAGGACAAGAAGAATTTTTAATAAAACTTTATGTTTTTACACATCGGGCGTCGGTGATTTTTGTGTGATTCTGGAGACCCCAATGGTACTAAAGCTTAATGAAACTTGACATTAGAAGGAAACTTGAATTAATTTAAAGCAGGAGATAAAATTTGCCACGACAAATCGCAGTAAAAGTATTCGAAGGTTTTTCAAGAGTTTTTAATGTTTTAAGCTTTAAACCGAGCTTTCTTGGTTTTACAAAAAGTTTTTTTATGGCAAAATGTAGGCAGTTTAACTTAAATCATTGCTTTGACTCGTTCAACAATGGAACCAGCGTGAATAATTGCATTTTAACATGCATGTCACGAAAACTTTTTTTAATTCATTTGCATAAAAATTAAAGCGTTTAAACTGATTTCATAAGAATGCTGGAAATTTTCCCGTGGAGGTGGAAAAGATGAAGGCAGATTATGGCGTGATCAATTCCATAAATTATAAAAACTATTTATTTTTATTAACAATTCATTTGAAAAACGTGATGTCTAATTAAAAGTTTATAAAACATAAAAGAGCGTCATACACAATACGGCTTCATATTTATTTTAGGAAAAATGTAACAATATTTATATTAATGAGAAATTAACAGATTAAAATATCTCACTGTTTATATTGTTTCGAATTGTTGAAGATACATATTATGAAATAAAAACCTTGAAAAAAACGTGGTCGCTCTAAAAAGATTAAATATTTAAAAATAAAGACATGAAATGAAACAGACAGGTAATTGAATCATCGCTGGGATTATTGAATATCAACCTGTTGCTTTTCACGACGTTTATTTAGTGAAATGTAAGGAAATGTAAGTCATCTAAGACGAAAACCCTTTAAGTCATTCCAAAATCGATTTTTCCAGAACATGTTCTTAATCTTTCTACATGATTCACACGTGCAAATGGTGAATTTCATTTTGAATACATATGGATATGAATACAATGAAATCATCGTTGCATAAATTCAGATTTTTTAATAAAAACTTTTCTTAGAATTCTGACACTTTTTATTCAAGGCCTTTGCTTTCAGGCAGGTGTAATAAAGCATTAATTTTAATATTCAGCAAGTATCAATGTTTACAACCCTAAGAAAGGGTGAATTGCAATGTTAACAACACTTTAAGGCATATTTCTCGTGTAATCACCTTGAGGTATTAGATATCCGAAGTAAAAAGACGTCGGTAGGAAGAGAAAGGGAAGTAAATTTTTTTGTGGCTTCATTACCGACATTTCCTTACCGTGTTCTTGCAAGCATTAAAAATGCTTCTCTGATGAAGCACGTTTCATGTCTCGTCATGATTCTAAGGCCTGAACTGAATCGTAGAAAAGTTAAAGTTTCGTATTTTCGTTTTCAACGAGACTTCGCAGTCCTCGTAGAGCGGTAAACGCTATAAAAATTTATATCATTGATTATTCATCCTTTGAGAATAGAAAAGAAAGGTCTGATAAATATTTCTACTCATTTTCAATAAAGTTAATACCGTTGACATCGTTGCGCGTCAAACAAGTCATAAAATTATAAAAAGAAAATTTCAAGAATATAAATTTTTAAATAACTTTTTGAGTTGGAATTTAAAGTTTGTGAGATTTTGAAATTTTTGAAATGAAAAATTCATGACGATAATTGAAGGATCAATATTAATTATTTTTAAAACCAATATATAGAAATCTGACGATGAAA